AAAAAAAAAAAAAAAAAAAGGGTTTGATCTTTGGTGCGTCTGGCACCATGATTAAAGAAAAAAGAATTGTTTGATATTTGGTGCTCAGGCACCATGCAAAAAAATAAAACAGGGGAAAAGAAAGGAAAATATAAAAAAAATGGATGGTGCATCTGGCACCATGTGCAAAAAGAAAAAAAAAAAACATTAAGAGAAATAAAAGTCCATTTTATTTATTTTTCTGGAAATTTTACATAAATTTGCATTATACATACCTTAAAAAAAAAATCAAATCAAATCAAATCAAATTTACAAGAGGGGATATTCAAGAACGATCAGGTGGCGCCTCACAACTCGGCAGTGCTCCAGGAAGAGAAGGCGCTGGAGGTTGACTGTTTGAAGCCTCAGCAGTCGGTACAGCCCCAGAAGACGAAGGTAAATGCTGCTGGAACAAACCCACAAACCTCCGATGATCAAGTAAGATCTGACCATCAGATTCCTGCATCTGGTCAATTTTCCTCTTCATGTTTGTGGCATAGTTGTGTGCAAGCTTGTGCAACTGTTTATTCTCATGCTTGAGCCCTCTGATCTCCTGTTTGAGACTCATCACTTCAGCCGCCAACGATTCAACTTGACGGGTTCGAGCAAATAGGCGTTGGACCATGTTGGACACAGAACCCGCACACTGCACACTAAGAGCCAGGGACTCCTTAACAGCCAACTCATCAGACCGCCTGGAAAGTAGTCTGTTATCTTTGGGAGTGTGACAAGGTTCCGGGCCACCACCGCAGCGGTCATATCATTCTTCATCACCGAATCCCCAACAGTAAGAGGACCAGTAGGAGATATGAAGGATGGGCGCCATATGTTATCTGGAGAAGACGGGACTACCTCTTCACCAAGGTTCAAATCAAAACGACGGTCGGAGGGTCCAGACATTTTCAAAGTGTTGAAGGAAGAAGAGGTCGGACGAATCAAGATCTTAGAAGTGCAAGAAGGGAGTTTTCACAAGTAAAATTCAAGTGTGCTTTGAAACGAACATCGTGCCTCTATAAAAAATCAACACTCGACGGGATTTCAGAGATCGAAGGGGCAAGCTCAGAATTCGAAGACGCCAATTCAAAAATCGAAGAGGCAAGCTCAGAAATCGGAGAAGCATCTTGCTTTTCCAGTCGGTACAGCACCCATCACACGCAAACTCAGCTTTGCGGAAATCACGGGTAATTTGTCGAAGCGCCGATCCCAGTTATCGAAGAAGCGCCAGTCTTTTTCAGCCGCGTCGACACCTGTCACATGCACACTCAGCTTGGCGGAAATTACGGACAATTTGTCGAAGATTTCTGATAAAGAAGAAAGCACGTGAAGCCATATAGATCAATCACGCATTGGTTGCCGACACGAGTGAAAGAATAGTACCTCTACAAGTATCAAAGAACTTCCTATAATTGTCTACCTTCGCCTTCCATAGCAAGGCAGACATACAGAGCCTTTCTTCATCTCCAAAAAATGCTTTCCCAACGAAGCCTCTCGAGTCATTCAATGTTCCTTATTCCTTGGGGTACCTCTACAAGCCAATGACTCCAAAGCAAAAGTATCTCATATCACCAGGGTAGAAAGCAAGAGTATCTCATATCATGCGTTCTCCCTGTCGTTTCCTTTGTCCTTGCTCCTACCTACAAAGACAAGGATAAAGAAAACAATATGCCGGAACTTCCACTCAAACTCGGGTAAGGAACCGACTGCTTGGAACCCTTCCCTGATTGCCTACCTAGCACTGCTCTCGAGTACTCGTTTCCCACTGCTGCTGTACTTCCAAAGAGGCTACCACATCTGCCTGAAGAATAGATAAGGCAAGTGAAAATGATACCTTGCAGCATGTGGAGACAACGTGCAGAAGGAACAAGCAGAGAAGAATGCGGTCTGCACAGTCAACTCAGCGGAAGGAGTCCGAACTGAGGAACTCGAGAAGCTGCCATATCTGCCTGAAGAAGCAAGCAGAGAAGAATGCAGCATTCACAGTCAACTCAGCAGAAAGAGTCCGAGCTGAAGAACTCGAGAAGCTGCCATATCTGCCTGAAGAAACAAGCGGAGAAGAATGCAACATGCTCAGTCAACTCGGCAGAAAGAGTCTAAGATGAAGAACTCGAGAAGATGCCACATCTGCCTGAGGAACAGATAAAGGAAATGAAGATGATACCTTGAAGCATGTGGAGACAAGTGCAACCAAGCACGTGCTGATTCATCCGCTACTTCTTCAAAAGCAAGAGTATCTCATATCATCAAAGTTGCAATCACTCTGACGGTGAATTCGTTTTGACCCTCAAATTCTTGGGTCGGTTTACTAGGCGTTGTGGGCTGCACGTGCCGATTCACCACCCTTGAATCAAATCCTTAAAAGATCAAGTCACCAACTGGAAGAATAGCCCGTCAATCTTGAAGATCATACCGTTGACCAAACTGCTCAGGTGTGTGAATTAGAAAGATTGAACAGAGCAATAAGTCGTCACCTTCACCTCGTGCCTGCTTGCCATGTGTTCGAGTTAACCTTCAAGAATCAAGCCTCAACGGCCCTTGAAGAAGCTTCCAGCCAAATTCAAAATCAAGCCTTGACGGCCCTGGAAGAAATCAGAAGTCCGATTCAAGATCAAGTGTCTACCACTCTCGAATCAAAACCTAGTTCAAGAATAAGCTGTGGAAAATCAACAATTGGAGGAATCCAGAAAACCCTCCAACCCAGTTCAAGATCAAAGCTGTGGAAAGTCAACAAGCGCAACAAAAAAAATACGTGCCGATTCACCCACTACCAAAGCCAAAGATCATCTACCACATGAAACTCCTTGTGGTCCAAATTCAACCTTCAAGATCAAGACGGCCCTTGAAGAAATTTCAAACAAAAATTCAAGATCAAGCCTCAACGGCCCTTGAAGAAATCTCCAGCCCAATTCAAGATCAAGCCTCGACGGCCCTTGGATCGACATCTACAGTAGGGGACTTCAAAACGCATCTCCTACACATGACAAGCACATGTATACGACGCGCCTTGAAGTGGGGGCATTTGTAGACATCGAAATTTCGGTAAATAAATGTTGACCGATAAATTAAAGTGTCAACGCTCATGTATTACATAAATTTTACACGTAGCATGCAACTCAGCGAAAATTGAAATGAGTTGGAAAAGTCGTCAAATAGGACACGTGTCAACACCTGGCAGACAACTTATTTAATCTGGAATATTATATTCAAAACTAGGCCTTGGAAAATTCTATAAATAGAAGGCTAATTCATTCATTTAGGGAACCAAAATCATTAGGCAAAATTCTTGAAGCTCTGAAGCTCTGAAACTCCGAAGCTCTCAAGCATCCAGGTTCCCGAAGAATCAAGAAAGCGTTCTTCGTTCATCGTTCATCCTAAGATCAAGCCCCGACGGCCCTTTGGATCAACAATCATCCACCAATTCAAGATCAAGCCCCGACGGCCCTTGAAGAAAGCGTTCATCGTTCATCAACTGTTCATCCTCAAGGATCAAGCCCCAACGGCCCCTTTGGATCGACAACATCAACAAATCCGCTCATCCGCTGTTCATCAAGCCCAAGTCCTGACGGCCCTTGAAGAAAGCGTTCATCGTTCATCACTGTTCTTCGAGATCAAGCCCAAAAGCCCTCGAAGATCCGTTCAAGCCCAAAAACTCTCGAAGATCCGTTCGTCACTGTTCTTCGAGTTCAAGCCCAAAAGCCCTCGGAAATCCGTTCATCACTGTTCTTCAAGATCAAGCCCAAAAGCCCTTGAAGATCCGTCAATCACCATTCTTCAAGATCAAGCCCAAAAGCCCTTGAAGATCCGTTCATCCTCGTTCATCCAAGATCAAGCCTCGACGGCCCTTGGATCAATCGCACATCCCACAAATCAACACCTTACGGAGATCGAATCAGAGGATCAAAATAGAGAGAGATTGTAACCCAAAATCATCAAATACAAATATATTTGTTTGTGCGCGTTGTTCTTGTCTCTTTCGTTTCAGGAATTTTCCGTGTTCACAACTACATGAGTTTATTCAATTGGAAATTTGAAGAATTTTAATTCTTTTAATAAATTTAGGGGTATTCAATTAAAATTTTCAGTGATTCTCTAAAATTCAACATGTATTAAATTAGGAATTTTGAACAGAGTATTAAAATGCTTAGGAATCAGGGTGTATTCAATTAGAATTTTTTTTGTAATGTATTTTAAGCATCCACAATTGAATAAAATTTTTATTGGAATCTCTACAAATCAATTAAACTCTACAAAAATCCATTAAAATCTCTTAAATTCCCAATTGAATACATCCCCTACATTTCAAGGTATAAAATCTTGAATGGACAGAAATATTCTCTTGGTCATCAAAACATGACTCCTTGATTGGGTATTAAAATCACATATTAGTAATGCTTTCCAATGGTAAAAATAAGTCTAGGAGTTTTTTTACGGTAATGGGATTGTTAGATGTTTGAGGAGAGGGAAAGTAGTGAGGATCGAACCTCAGAATGCATAACATAATTACTTTCCGTTACTACAGTAGAGCGCTCCATATGGAAAAATGCAAGTTTAGGATTCGATTAGCAAAAAGTGCTAGAATGATTGTGGAAGAGTTGAATGCGTTTTTTAACAAATAAAAAACATGGGGCATGCTTCCACAAAAGACAAGCAAGGAGAATAAATTCCTTGCATGGATAATAACTGAAATTTGGAAACCCACCTCTCTCTAATGAAAAAGGTTGAGGGCTCAACCGGATGGGCCATTCACCGTCGTTGATTCTAAAGTGTGTACTTCAAACCGGCCATGCTACACGACAGTTCTTACCGAAGTTTTTCTCCGAAAAATAAGCCTTGAGGAGGTAAAAGCTCCAAACCGACGAGATTGATGGTTGTGTTGATGAATCTTAGAGGAGTAACAAAAAGAAAAGGGCAAAGAAAACACTATCCATACCACTGAAAAATCAAGCCAGTGATGAGTCAAAAGATAACAACAAACTACAGCAATCTGCACACAACAAAAGAAACCATATTTCTGTTACCATGAACAAACATTCAACCCCCACAAACCAATCCTCCTATGCTACAACATTATAAATAACAATCCGGAAACACAACAACACAAAGGTTTGAGAAGAAGAAAAAAAAATGTTGACATTAATCGTGAAGACAACTGAAACAGACACGAAAATCACAAACCCGTCAGATTTTTCCTCTCTTCTCTTCCTCCTCCACCCTCTAACAAAGCCCTGGCCAATCTTTTATTCAATCTTCTTCACGTCAACGACATCTACCTAAGTTACATGCTTAAGCTTGCTTTTATTTTACATGCACTCTCTCACACAAGACTGATCACTAGCTACCTGCTGCCTTTCCTCTCGTGCACTGGAGGGCCTTTAATGGAGCTAGAATCAACCCTAGGAGGACCGGAGTGCCTCCTTGGTCCAGCCGGTGATGCAGAGAATGACAGCCGCTTCTTTGCAGACGTCACTGATCCCTTCTCTGATGGTGTCCCGTTCTTCTCTGACTGGTTTGAGCTTGGGGTTGCCAACCTCGACCTGGCCTTTGTTGATTTCGTGGGTGTCATGTAACTTGGAACTGAAGGCGAGCTTGCAAGGCTCTCATCATCTCTGACAGAGGATCCTGCGATGCTATGCCTCCTATTGAAGCGCTCTGACTGGATGCTGAGTGTGCTCCTGGAGTCCTCGTCTCCACCCCAGCCATTTCCTCTTGGGGTTCTCCCGGTTACTGATGCTGACGATGGTGCCCTGGAGAAAGGAGTTGAAGGGGATTGGCAACTGGCAGGCCTGCTTGATCTTAGGGCAGTAGGGGTCCTAGGAGAAGGCTTATCGCGAAGAGCATAAGCTTTGGTGATTTCCCGCACTGGCATGGAGGCACGGCTTGCTGCACTCCTCATGGAGGCCCGGTCATTGAAGTCTGCTGTACTTCGGCTCTCCCATGGCCTTGCAGCCATCCATCTCTCTAACCAACTCCAACCCCAGCGGGGATTGCTGGGATCCATAAAGGTCGGGTGTGCAGGATTCGAAGAGTTCATCTTCTGTCGAAGAGATTTATTGGGTCAGTTTAAGGTAGATGTTTAATTCAATATATTAAAAAGAATAAGGAGGTTCATCACAGCAGAATCTCAAATCAGAATTCAAAAATCGCCATCGATAGGCTTCCTGTAATCCTGTAAAAATAATCAAAACGGAAAAGTATGCTACCTGGTGAGAGAATGAATAAGCCAACGCCCTTTCTCGTCTCATAGCAGCCTCTTGTTTCATTTGTAGCTTTGCCTCGACCTGTTCCTTGGATTGAATGCTATCATCCCAATCTTCTCCCATCTATCACAATAAGTTTAGCATATCACAAAATCGAAGACGCCTGAAATAAATATAAAACTAGAGGCCGAAACAAATTGATGAACTCAAGGAACAGAAGATGGAAGCAAAACATGAACGGGCATGATTGTACAGGAGTGCTCATAGACAACTCATACAAACATAAAATATTGGGGGAACTTACAGAATCTTTTTTTATTTTCTCAAGCTCCTTCTCTTGTTTCTGTTGGAGCTGTCTCTGAAAAGCCTGATTCTCCTCGGACATTCTAATCCTCCTTGCACGAATCTCAGACTGCACACGAGCAAGAGTCTGCATGCATCTTAACGTTGAAGTTGCTTGCCGTTTAACAGATTGGCCTTGTAGCAATGATTTCAACCTCACCAACCCCCTCAAAGCTCGTAACGCCCTTCTTGCCTGAAAATCACATACAACAAAACCTCATTTAACACATACAGCTCATGGCCCGAGAATAAATGTATTGGAGTTATTATTATAGATCGTTATTTACTGCTTTACTAAATTCAACGTCCCCTTATAAGATGGCAGCTGACCTTGATCAAAGCAGGCATTAATTCAAAAAAATCAGATCTTTCTCACAAGAGGCAAGTCAGTTAACACGAGGCCTATTCAATAGAATGCCAAATCCCTCGTCTTGTTCAAGTTGAACAACCAACCGAAAGTTCAACCGATTCGATATAACTAGGCATACCATCCTCTAGTACTTTTACATATTATCACAATTCATACATCTTATTTCCATACATCTTATTTCCAAAAGTACATAAACCAAATAGGACTAGAGAACAATATAGCCAAATAAAACATACCATGTGCCCTCGGAATGCAGTCTGAATCTTGATAGCTGCAACCTCCTGCATCGACTTTCCAGGGTAACCGGGCATGGGCACAGCTGTGAGGCGAACAACCTCCGCGGCAGCCTGAGCAGCAGCCACAGCTGCCTCTGCAGCCGCGGCAGTGGCAAGTGCCACAGAGTAAACATGTTTGTTCTGTGCATTCTCAGCCTCAGCTAATTTGACATCTTCTTTGGGAGGCGGGGTCGGAGGAGGAGGAGGGGCGGGGGCGGGGGCGGAGGCAGGGATAATAAATGCGGTTTCTGCCCAGGAAGATACCGCATCCTCATTCTTGTACTTCCCAAACCATCTCTTCTTTGACTTGTGAGTCTTCTGGCATGAAAGAACAATCGTTTCGATTAGAAATTCGTATTAATTTTCGACACAACCACGATGTAAGATCAAAGTAAACCAATTAAACAAACCTGGTCTTTCTTTTCCTTTGGATCAGGGGTGAGGGCTTTCTTCAATGCAGAAAACCAACTCCCTTTCCTCCCCATTTTCTAGCAAAGCATGCTGCCAAAAACAAACAAACAAATTTATGAAATTTTAGAGACATACAATACAATGAACACGAAAAGGTCGAAAAGTTATGAAATTTCTCAAATGCATAAATTCAAATAACCCATAAATTCAAAGGAACAGTGGACAAGGAAAGTTGGAACTTGAAAGTCAAAGTTCAACCCTCAAGATTCTGACTTTTTGGTAGGAAATCTATGTCTTAATGCGCAGAGATCTAATTAAACGCGCACTAAACACAATTGATAACTTCCTAAACCTAATTACAAAGGGCAAACAACGGACAATAAAAAACAAAAAAGCTGCCAACCCAACAAAGAAAGGTGCAAACTTTCGGTTATCCATTAATGCAAACAATAAATGGTCCAAAACCCAGATTGCAATACTGCAAGATTATCAAAACTTCCACAGAACCCAGATAAAAAATCCTACTAGCAGCAACTTAGAGAGAGAAAGATGAGAGAGAGAGTGTGTGACAAAATGACAGAGCCCACAAGTTAATTTTAGGACAAATGCATGAGAAAAACACAGGCAAAAACCAAAACAAAAAGGACACACTTTCAGTACCTCTGCTCGAAAATTCCCAGATCTCTGTGAATTTCGGGAACTCCCTCTCCCCTGAAAAAAGAAAAAAAACAGAAAATACCCAAAGGAGTATATGAATGTGGAGAGAGAGAGAGAGAGAGAGAGAGAGAGAAGGGGGAGGAAAGCTTCAACGTTCGGAAAAACAGAACAAGTTGCAGAGGAGCAGAGGGAATGGAGGAGGGGTTAATTCGGAGGGGCCTACAGATATTGGGGTTTCTATTTTAGTAAGAAACAAAAAGCAACATTAGACAACAAACAACAACCTCGCTGTCTTTTGTCCCTTCTTCCTTTGTTTTACTTTTTCAAACTGCACCCCTTAGCAGCTAATTTTTGAGGATTTTTTCTGGATACAACCTTCGTTCTTATCTGCTGCAACATGAACCACAGCGACTTCCTCTGCTTCCTCCAAACACGGCATGCCTCACAGATTTAACTAAATTGTGATTATTTGTTAATTTCGTAGATAAAAGATGAAGGGTTGCTCTTTTTACAAGCAAACGATACGATTCGACCCAAAAAAGGACACAAATTAATCACAATTTTTGAGCTGATATGCAAGTTAGTGGGAGGTAATGATAGCAATTTGGTATAAGATTTGTGTATCTTGCATGTCAAGTTTAAAATTTTCTTCGATTGGGCAAAATATAAAGGTTCGTTTGAAAATGCTTTTAAAATGACTGAAAGTATTTTTGGTAAAAGTGTTTTTAGATTTGAACGTCACTTGAAGTGCTTCTTGCAAGAAGCATCAATTATAGCTTCTTCCAAGAAACAGTAAGTGATTTACCCAGGTTTACTTGTATTTTTACTAACGATTAGTTTAAAAAATATTTTCTTCAAAAGCGCTTATACTCATTTTAAAAGTACTTCCAAATAAGCTTAAATGCTAATTTGGTTGGATGCAGTGATTTCATATTCAAGAATCAGGTTGACATTAGAAGGTAAAATTGTTTATTTAAAAGATTCAAATCCATGTATGCTAAGATTTGGACAATAAACAAATTAAGAAAGCAAATGGATTCAAATTATTCTTTGCATATAGTCATTTTAAATCCAATTGAAATTACTACTTCTAGTTATTCCAAATACATTAAACTTAATATTTTCAAGTTTATTCCTCTTTCCAAATCCAAATCATTTCTTCCAAATTCTTGTGTTCCGATGATCATTTCCATATTTACACGTTGTTGCGGTGCTACAGAATGGTCATTGTCATCAATTTACTTCCTCTATTAACAATTCTTGCCTCACTGATATGTAAAGGTAATGAGAAAATAGATCGACGTCAACTTTTTGATCGTTCAAACTCTAAAACGACATAATCTCATGGCTATACAACCTTTGTCTTTAATCATAAATCTCGACTCTCAACTAATTCAATATACTCAGCTTTTTTATTGTCCAAACTCTGAAAATTGACTTGTCTAAAAAATTACGAGGTCAGTTTAAAGATTTTTTTTTAATCTAAGTAATTAACATTAATGACTTCTTCTTATAACAAAGGAAGGTCACTTTCTGAAACTTACATATGTATGATAGTTTATACCAAAAAACAAGAAACAAAGAAATAAAAACAAAAAATAGCTGCATATAACAGTGCCGGAAAAACCCTAGCAGTTGTGCCCTACAATATCCGTTTTAGGTTATAGTTTTTGTACAAAGAGTTGGTCCCATTAGCCAATAAAATATGCAAATGCCCACAACTAATTAGTATAAAAAAATGTCCCTGCAACTTGTGACTTGGTGAGGTGAGGCCACCACTGCACAGAATATTAAGAGATGAGTGCATCATTTGGTGGCAACATTGATGGTGTCACATGCCAATTGCCTCGTTTGCACGTGAGCCTTATTAAATTATTTACAGCCTTGTAAGTTGTAGCTCGGTAGAGGGAGAACAACTTGTATGATACGTTTATATTGTTACAATAACGTTTCAGGTTAGTATAATAAGGATATGTGTAAGTTTTTATTTACACGTATTTGATTCGATAACGCTAAATGGCATGTTACAGTGTTTTATAACATTGAATAATGCGTGACAGTGTAATCGTACCATGCAAATTGTTTTCCTACATAGGAAAAAGGAATGCTAGCCTATAGAAATTGTATATAATGCCTTCACATATTCTTCTCCTTGTGGGTCACATGAACAGTATCCAGCTTGTATATAAAAAAGGTAGTGTTATCCACACACCTATTTTAACTTCACACACTTCTTTTAATTTTTGACCATTGGATCAAAAGAATTGAAGAATATTAATGGCCAAAAGTTACCAATAGTGTATGGAAGATAAAAATAAGTGTGTAAATAACACTATCCTATAAAAATTGATTCTTGATCCATTCTAGGTTCCGAGTTTTTGTTTCTGTGTGATTAAGAGCGTTTATTTATGTATTAAGATTTTTTATTTAAGCGACTAAAAGCATTTAGACCTGCATAGATATTTTGTGTTTTGTTGTAGCCGCATCAAAATTTTGTAGTTAGTTTCGCTCCGTCTTCCTTAATATCAGTTTGTATTAGAAAGTTGGGAATAAATGTTGAAAAACATGTTTGAGTAATGAGTTTAATCTTTATCTTTGTCAATTATCGAAGTCTGAATTTGGAGTACACGTTGAGTGTTCTTCACTCCGCTCGAGTGCTATACATGAAGTCATGCTAATCACTTATGACTTTGTGATAGTTTAATTTAATTGATTGATTTAGTTGGAGCTTTCAAGTTGATAACTAACTGCCACATTTGTCAAATATCATAGTCAAATTCTTGATCAACTCCCAACTTTTTTTAATTTCTTAGTGCAATGACGTGGTGTGCAAATTATATGCCAGTAAAGGTTGGAAAATTGAGTTTGTGTTCAATTATATAGCATCAAATTCTAACGATGACCGGTAAATTATTGAATTGGTGAATTTGATTCTTACAATATACAATAGTCAAACTCAAGACATCTGATTCTTAACTTGAGTAACATTTTCTACGCGTGTACGACAAGTTAAATATTTGAAACAAAAAGAACATCTATTGTTCACTCATATGTTGGAAAGTGGTTAATTCCATAATCCAATTCAGCTCCTTGTCGTTGCAAATTTTTTTTTTTTTTTTATATTCTTTTTGGGGTACACTGGAAATAGCATTTCAAGGCAAAAGCCAACAAAGTACACCACCAAAGCAAATATACACAAAAATTCAATTACATGATAAGCGCAAAGCGAAATATATGGACCCTAAACATCCTTTGAAGGCCAAAAGCAAAAAATACACGAAAACAAAAAACCTAACCACCTGCTACCACCGACGCCGCCAGAACAGTGCCTCCCAACCACCGCTAGCCAACATCCCCAACAGCTACTAGTAATCAACTCCCAAGAAGTGAAGAAAAGGGAGAGAGGATTCTCGTCATATTCTCTTTGTGAGGATCCCAGGGATCCTTCTGTTCATCATATATCGTTTTGTGAAGTCCATTTATGAGGGAGGTATTTTAGACAGGTAGAAATTGTCTTTTACAAACCACTATATGCCCTTAAAATTATGATGACACTATATGCCATCTAGTTGATTTAATTCCTGAAATTTTTAGAGATTCGATTACAAAATTTACACAGAACTTATACTATTTTTTATTTCACATGTGTTAGTACACGAAAAATCAAGAATAAAAAAAATTCCAACACTCGAGTTTTTTAAATGAAGGAAAACTAAAATCAGAATATTTTTAAGGTTTATTTTTAGCTACGCTTCCTAAAACTTGATTCTGATTCCACTTTGTTTCCTAAAACTCAAAAGTCAATATTCTACTATTTGAAACTCAAAATCCGTTTCACATTTCCATGTTTCGCTATTTCTATAAAAAACTGTCAAATATGCTGGTGTGGATTAAAAATACATTTCAAAATAGAGAATTATTATTGACACTAAAAAAATTTCATTTTTCATTAAACTTTCTTCATTTAGAAATAAAGATACAGTAAAGAGTATAAAATGAGATTTTTGAAATACTGATAACAGTTTAGAATAAATAAAATAATATGTCAATCCACCCAAAGGGCAACAATCTTAAGCTGGGCCCATATTTTCTTGGGCGAGTTTAAAGCAGGCCTGAGTCCAAAGTGTAAACCTTTTTAACGGGCCGGTCTCAGACTTTCAGCCCAACACAACGCTGTCGTTTGCGGTTGAGGGGGGAAGCCGAAATCAGGTCAAACGAAGGGAAGCTCGTACCCTGCGACTGTTTGAGGCTTGAGGCGCCTAAGCAAATAATACAAAGCAGCTTCCTTCCTCCATTGCAGAAGAGAAGTGAGCAGCCATGGGAAAGCTGGGAAAGAAGGCGAGGAAGTTCTCGAAGAAGAATCTTCAGTCCGTTCTCAGAAAAAACCGCAAGTTGAATTCCAAGTTCAACAAAAGGAGAACTTCCAAGAGTATGCTCTCTCTCTCTCTCTCTCTCTCTCTCTCTGTTCTGCAAACCCGTGTCGGCTTACGGATTGAAAGTTTGAAACTTGGGTTGAGTAGAAAATAAATAAGCATTAGAACTTGCATCTTTTGGTGTGGTCTTACTTGGGTTGTTGTTACATTTTGTTTAGAATTTCTGTATTTTTACGTGTGATATGGTCTGTGTAAATGTGAAAGCTTTGGTTTTTGAATGCATGGAGTTTTGGTTTTGTTGAATTTTGTGGGTTTTAGTTATATTTTGTGTTTTCGCTTTATTTGGAGATTGTTTCTTGCTTCTCTGATTTCTGTTGGGGAAAAATGTTAATTCAATTGTTGCAGAAGGTGGGAAAGAAGATAGTGGTAAAGAACAGAAAAAGGACGCAGTGGAGTTGTCTAATGCAAGGTACAAAGAAGGACATTTTTTTCGCATTTCGTGATCTTGAACATATAATTTTCGAATGCCATTTAGATAGTACTTGTATCTTTTACTCTTTTTTTTGGTTTTAAATTTCCACCATTTAGTAGTTTTCGTTAATGGAGGATAGAGTTTTGGAGACTAAGTTTTCCAGAAGAATAATATATGTCAGATATTGATTTTATGTTTTGATGAAGGCTTCAATCTAACATTCTAACCTAAGTGTCAGAAAAGTTTTTTTTCCTTTAAGATAGCATTTCCTGAAGAAGAAGAAAAACTAAGGAAATGTCTCCCATGTAACGTTTTACATGTCAAATAAGCTTCATGATATTTTGCATCCAGAAAACTTTCCTGTTGAACTGTTTTCCATTGACACAAATGGAGCCAATGCGTTTTTAAGTTTCACTATGTACTTTCATTTTGTAGTTTACTTTAACTGCATAATAGTGTTATACCATCATTACGGACGCACTAAAAAGGGTCGTACCCAGTGCACAAGGCTCCCACTTTACGCAGGGTCTGGGAGAGGTGAATGTCGGCTAGTCTTACCCCCATTTATGGAGAGGCTGCTCCCAAGTCTCGAACCCGAGACCTACCGCTCATGGGCGAAGGCACTTGCCATCGCACTAAAAAAAGGTCGTACCCAGTGCACAAGGCTCCCGCTTTACGCAGGGTCTGGGAGAGGTGAATGTCGGCTAGCCTTACCCCCATTTATGGAGAGGCTGCTCCCAAGTCTCGAACCCGAGACCTACCGCTCATGGGCGAAGGCACTTGCCATCGCACCAAGTGCGACCTCTGCACTTGCCATCGCACTAATTTCAAAAAATTGTTTTCAGAAATACTGAAGGAATCTACATAGAAGACACTCCTCTTGATGCGATATTCAGTGAAGATGAGAATGATGTGTTTGGAGATGATTCAGACAGTGATGGGTATCTTTCTGAGGTATTGAAATTACAATTTTTTTTCTGGGAACTCTTCCCAACTTCAGTCACTTTGCTGGGAATTTTTTGGATTGAACTTTTATTTTCTTTCAATGTTTGATTAGGACTCAAGCGATCTGCATTGTGAAACTGAGAATTCTCAAGAAGGTGAGGTCATAATTCCATCAGTTTATTTTGTATCATTCCGATATTAATTTTGCTTCTCTTCTCCTCTCCCCTTTACATTTTTATGACCTTTATATTCAGGAAATTTTGGCAGTAGTGGTAGTGATTTATCTGTGCAGAACAGGGAAATTCAACTTGAACTTGCGAAGAAAATGAAAAAATTAGACAAATTGAAGGATAAGGTAATGGTCATGGTTATTACTTGAAAGTACATGTTCTTAAGAAGATTGTTTCTTTTACCAGTTACCACCCCATTCTGCTCATCCTACCGACTATCTTTCTCCACCTCCCATCCGATCGTTTCTTTTTCTTTTTAATGATCATGTTTGCTTGGAAAATTTTCAGGACCCAGATTTTTCTAACTTTCTCGAAAACTATCATAAGCGGTCTGAACAGTTCAGAAACAAAAAGGCAAGTAATATCTATTGTGGCATTTAGCTTCAGTTTTTGAGTTTTGTTTGGAGCAGTACATTTGTCTGCAGTTTTATATTGCAAACCTAATTTCCGTCTGTAATCTGGGTCGGCTGTTTGATGTCCCTTCTTTCTCCCGATTATGCATGTGCAGTATGCTGATGAGGATGAGATGAGCGAGGATGATATGCAGCCAGAGAATGTTGATGGTGTTAACACTCACGCTAGCAAGTTGTTGACCAGCTCTGCCATTGATTCATTGTGTCAACTAGTCAAAGAGCATCAAAGTGTGCCTGCGCTTACTAGTCTATTAAATGGGTACCGTGCTGCATGCCACTATGGAGCTGAAACAACCAGTGTCTTTAATGCTGATTCTTGTCATGGAATTCAGAACAGTGAAACCTTTTGCAAGATATTGATGTTCATGCTTAATGAGGCTGATAATGTATTTAGGGGGCTACTGGGCATATCAAGCTCCAATCCCAAGAAAGAGAAGAGTTTGGACTTGAGCAAGAATTCAAAATGGAATACTCTTAAGCCACTGATAAAATCGTATTTGAGGAGTACCCTTTTACTACTGAATGAGGTTAATGACTCTGAGATATTGGCCTTCTCCTTATCACGGATCAGAGCTTCTATGATATTTTTTGTTGCTTTCCCTTTGTTGCTCCGCAGACTTATCAAGGTATATCTAAATGAATGAAAAAAATAGTTCAAACTTAACACACACACACACACACACACATGCTTTATACATTGTCGTGCTTGTTATATAGGTCATGCAACTCATACTTAACACTTCTAATTGAAACTGCAGATTGCTGTTCATCTGTGGGCAACAGGGAAAGGGACTATATCATCTCTATCCTTTCTCATCATACGCGATGTGGCATCTGTGTTTCGCTCTGATTGTTTTGACACCTGCTTTATTAACACGTATAAATCATTTATTGGTCATTGCCAATTTATGGAGCCTGTTATATTTCAACACGTACAGTTTCTAAGGAACTCCTTTGTTGAGCTCTGCTCTGTGGATCTGCAGAAAGCATCTAGTAAAGCAATGGTGTCCATCAAGCAACTTTCTAAAATACTGAAGCAGGGTCTGCTGACAAAGAAGAAGGTGTTGCCACTAACTCAATCCTATTGGTGCTTGTTTAATTAAATTCTGAAACTTGAGCTTTTTCCTCTTTCAAGTTATATGTTTATGTGTGTGTGGGAGTGTAGTTTATAAGAAGTTATGGTATTTCGGATGTACCAATGATATTTACTGAAGTTCTGCCTGATTTTCTATGGCCAGGAAGCTGTCAAGAAGATATGTGGTTGGCAATACACTAGTTGCATTGATCTATGGGTTACGTTTATATCAGCTAACATACCTGATTATGATCTTCAGCCGTTGCTCTTTATGATAATTCAGATTATAAACGGAGTGGCTGTGTTGTTTTCTGGACCTAGATATTTGCCTTTAAGAGTCAAATGCATTCAATGGTTAAATCAGCTCTCGTCTTCCTCAGGAATTTTTATTCCTATTGCCTCTTTAGTGGTGGATATTTTGGAATATAAAATTGGCAAGGATGTTGGTAAACCTGGAAAAGACACCAATATTATGTGTTCTGTAAAGGTTGGGAATTTGTAACTTTACCGATAGAAAAGTGTGTTTGGAATTGGGTTATGCAATCTGCTCTGATTTGATTTATTATTGTTATTCCAAATTTTTTGTGCAGTTTCCAAAGAATTGGTTAAAATCGAGGAACTTTCAAGAACAGTGTGTTGTATCTGTTATCGAACTGCTTTCAGCACATTTTGCTCAGTGGAGCTATCATATTTCTTTTCCTGATCTGGCGACTATTCCCCTTGTCCGCTTGAGGAAGTTCCACGAGATAACTACTATAGAGAGTTTCAAGCGTATAGTGAAGCGCTTTATTGATCAGGTACAGTCTCATAGAAGATTTAGTCTTTTACTTGCATCTGTCTCCTTGAAAATGAATTTATTTTCCGGATTCAGGGACACTCAGAGACATAGGTCTCTTTTATCCTCTTGAGTAGAAATTTGCTTGATGGTTGTACCTCAATAAACACGGGAAACCTGTGGAGTCCCACTATTTGGGCTGTCTTTAAATGCAGGCTGTACTTATATTATTTTACGTCTGTGGCATCTATAGTTGAAAATCATAATTTCCTCAGTTTTTGTTATGCAAATTCAAATAAAACTATTATATGGCAAAGAATGTCTAAGTCAGCGACACATTAATGGTTCCTTTGTTGGCTTTTGCAAACTCCCCAACATTGTTAATAAACTGCTTCCTTGGCCTCCATGGCTGGCAATCAAGTTAATGCATTTAGGAATCTTTGTCATGTGACAAAAAGGTTCTGTTGCTTGCACTGCAGGTGGAGCAAAACATTGAATTTGTGCGGAAGAAGAGAGATGAGGTGCCTTTTTCACCAAAAGATCAACAATCTGTAGAATCATTTCTCCAGGTCTGCAGCCATTATGGCCGTTATTTTTTGGACTTCGATGAATATTACTTGTTTTTTTTATATGTTAAATGGTCAACATGCAGCTAGAAAAGCACAGCGGCAATACTCCGTTTGCACAATACTATAAAAGCATCATCGACAAGGCTGCTTCTAGAAATTTGGCTCTATTTGAAAAGGTGCAGCATACTTAACCTTATTTTTGTGTGTTCTTATACCTTTTTCCGATTGACTTGACTGGGTATGGCGCCTTGAATGTTAACTATGGAGGTTGTACAATGACATTTCCGGTGTACAAGTAGTTGGAATCAACCCTTTTTTTAGCAATCTCATTAAATTTCTACTCTTGTGATGGTACTTGATCCAGTTCTCTGAAGTAGACAAAATCAACAAGAAAACACAAAAGAAAACAAAGCAGCCTCCAAATGACAAGGTAACTCAAGGTGCCAATGGTAAACATTCGGAGAAAAGAAAAGCCAATGCGTCTATTAACGGTGGCAGACAAGGAAAGATGAGGAGAAAAGAAAAGTCTGAATCGTAAATCGTCAATTTCTGAACCTTCCTCAGACTCGCCGAGCCGGTTTTGATCCTTTTGGCAGAACAGACATCTTAGGTCAGTGCTCTCTTTATAAACAAAGACATCTAGTCTGTTGCTTGTAATATTGTAAGGAAAGTTTTGTTTAACATACATGCAGAGGTGAACTCCCATTACTGATGACAAAGCATTTCTTATATATATATATTTTTCTATTGATTTGAAAACGGTGTTTTTCTTCCGAATGCCGGAAGATGTCTTAAGTTCGTATCCCCCTTCCCCGTTGACTTGGAAAAATAATCAAGAAAAAAGCATTATATAGGGAATCTCAGAGGCATGATCATGGTTGACTTTCGTTTTATTTCGTTTTCTTGTTGGCCAAGTTTGCTGGTTGACTCTAGTCTGCTATATTTTTAGGGCTCATATTTTCTAATTAATATTTGTGTTGCCTTGTAGCCGATCGTTCTAGACAAGGCAAAGTACAAAGGGTAAGAGGGCCGGCATTCGGCACCCATTTGCCTTTACCAAAGGCCAAGTTAGTAATGCAAGCTACTTAACGTTAATTAATATTTATACCCGTTGACATGAATACCACTACTAATCTGGGGTGTTTTCGTAATTATGATGAAATTATTATAATAAATCATGTATTTACGTGTATTTAGGCGCACATAACGCGTTATCTGCAATTATATTTTAATTTTTTTATTAACGGGCTTCAAGTCTGTTTTATGTTATTAACTTGGAGCCAGATCCTTCAATCAAGCTATGGAACAAGAGAAAAGTTTATCAAGATGCATTGTTTTCTCCTTTTTCTGTGTATGGAGGCATAAGATTAATCGAGATTTTTGCTTTTGGTACTCACGAGTGGTTGGTTCAGTGGTAAGACTATCGAATATCCTCATAGCCGCTCGTTGGAGTTAAACCTCTTGTTTTCAGCGCTTAGAGCACGCGGTGGGACTTAAGGCCATCTCCAATAGAGAGGGTTAAAGGTTCAAAAGCTAAAAAAATAGGGGTGGGTATGGTTCGGTTTGATGCGGTTTGGAGTGAAACCCGCATTTTTTGCGATGCGGTTTTGAAGCCAAAACCGAAATAAAATCAAACTGTTGAGTTCGGTTCGGTGCGGTTTCAATTCGGTTTTTAAGAAGAAAACATACATTTTAAAATGACACCTTATCTACGCATAAAATGGTCTCATTTCTGATTTCCACCCAATACATTAATTAATGAAGCATGTCAACTATCAGTGCATAGAGTGATATTTTGATAATTTATTTTCATCTAAAATTGGAACAATATCAACCGAACCGCTACAAAATGTCATAATCCATATTTGAAATGAAACTAATCCCTCGTTAAAAACCAGTACAAGTCCTTATAGAGTAGTCTTTTAGCTAGCTAGGTGCCAATTGCCACGCAAAAATTGAAAGCTTAGGAAGAAGAAATGAATGAACGGTTTGCAACTACGTACATACTCTGTGTAGGAGATAACATCAATGATCCAATGTCAAGGCAGATGTATATTAATCGCCCAACAAACAGACTTGCACCCTCAAATCTATGAGAAAGCTATGCATTATTTCCCTTGCAATTTACGTTTGCATAGTATCCCATATCTGATGTAGGACAATGATATTCTGTCGAAGACTAAAGAAAGAAAGTGATGAATGATGATATTCTAGTGTGGTTGAATGATGATTTTTAGTGTGGTTTGTATATACTCTAACAAACAACTAACTAAAATGTTTATTAATATTTGCGGTGCAGTTCGGTTTCAGTGCTGTTTTCAAAAGCCAAAACCGAAATCAAATCGTTTCTTACATTGCGGTTCGGTTTCAAAACCACAAACCGTTTGGTGCGATCCAATTTGGTTCATGTTTCGGTTTCGATTTTCGGTTCCAAATGCCCACCCCTACTAAAAAATGATTTGATTTGTCAAAAAACTCATCTCCAACAAATGGTTGAGTTATAATTATATGGAGCCCACCAGGTTATTACTTGGCCAAAGGGCCAAATGTAGGCCTCCTCTTAGTCCATTTTCTGGGACCCAGCTCCTCGGTTGCAATAATTGATTCAAATTCAATGGCTAGATTTGAAAGCATTCAATGATAGTTTAATTAAATTAATTTATAAATTTAAAATATAAAGTTAAAACTAATAAATTATCTTCGGGCTATGTTTAGCCCATTCGGTTAGAAATGATGTATGAATATGACCTGATACTGTTTATTTAAAAATAATTTTTGTAGGGCTATAATTCTGAACGAGGTTATGTTTAGCTCTTTTCGATTAGAGATGGCATAAGTTTCAACGAGATCCTCTGTAGAATTGTTCGAATCACAGGTACTTCAGCCCCTACATTTTTCTGCTTGAGAAGATGAACGAAGCCATGATATTGCACCAAATCATGTATGACCATGGGATCAAAATTTTCAACCAGACTATGTACTCAATCACCAATTTTTGTCAATACCATATTCTGAACGATGAAGAGGAGTGAGGATCCTCTCTGGATCCTCTTTGTGAGGATCCCAGTGATCCTTCAATCACATCCGTTTATCATACATCGTACGGTCAGAAATCATTGTAATTTTTTTTATTTAAAATTAAATATAAACGGTACCTGACAAAAAATTGACCGCATGATATACGATGAACGGATGTGATTGGAGGATCCCCGAGATCCTCACAAAGAGGATCTGAAGAGAATCCTCATTCTTTGAGAACCCATGATACTGCACCAAATTATTTATGACCCTTGGATCAAGTTTTCAACCAAATTATGTACTAAACCACCAATTCTTGTCCATATCATATTCTAAACTACTCTAATCTGTAGAGACCGGTGAATATGTAAGAGGACGATGACACTGCCCTAGTCAGCTGACATGCTCCCCGTCTCATAGTCAGTTGCCATTATTAGACAACATAACTATAGTAAATGTAATGATAGTCGTTCTCTTAGTTATGGGGTTCCAATTAGTGATATTCATGCCTCCATTTCAAAAAATATATATATATATATATACAAAAATGTAGGATTCTAATATTGCAAAAATGTGATTGAATATTTAAGTCACTATCTTATCCATCCCCATGTATATTACAATGAACATCCCAAACACCATGTCCCTACATCACTGCCACAAATTAAGTTTGCAAGGTCAAGCATGGCTTCCTGAAAAACTCCCACACGCGTGAGCTGAGCATCAATCAAGCTTCTTATTTACACGTGTGGAAACTGGAACTTGTAGCTCACCAACTAAAGAAGCCCGGCCTTTACGACGGCGTCTGCATGTGGACTGCTACACCCCACCGCCCTCAACAGCCTCCACAACCCCTTTGCCCTACTTTTACTATCATTCCTTCCCTTATTACCCTTCTCATCACTGCCTTCATCAAATGACCTAAACATGGTCGACGGCATCCGTCGGCTCTGCCGGTTTTTTATGTCCCTCAGCTCCATCTCCGTTGGAAACCTCGCCATTTGAAACATCAAAAGATACCACTTGGACCTCGACGGCGTGCTGGAAAGTATAGACACTTTATTCACCTCACACTTTCTGTAACTTGCCGATCTGGGATTTTTCGGCTTCGAAGTCTTGGCCGTGTTTGAGGGTTTGGTTATCTTGCCGAAAGAGCAAGATCTCCACGACCAAAAAAACCCTTTTCTTCGAAAAGCTAAAGCTTTTCGTTTTGTTTCCTGTTTCTTGTCTCTTGATCTTCTGAGTCTTCTGATGACATTTCTCCGCTGCAAAGTTTGGTGCTTCTTTGTTGTAGGGTATAAGTTTTCCGCAAAAGATTATGTCGTCCTTCTCTGCTGGGTACGTAGAGGAGGTGAACTCCTCGCTGACGAACTCGAATAAGTTGTCATCGTCTTCGTAGCGGTCGAAGGATGAGCTTTGGTAATCTTTGGAGAAGTCCTCCCCAATGAGCGGAGTCACTGTGTGTGGGAAGATCACACAGAGATAGGGTTTCTTCTGCCTCGTAGGGATCTTGGTCTTGAAATTGTTCTACTTTTTCTTCTAGAGGTGCAGCGTTTTGCGGGGTTTCTAGGGCAACCATCTTTTGGTGGGTTAAAATTGAAATGGAAGTTTTCTGTTGAGCTGGGTTTGTGTGGAGAGTGAGAGAGCAACAAGTACCCAGATATATATATAAGAGGCTCATAAGTCAGCATATTCATAAATAAAATTGAGATTCTTTGAGCCTTTTGTGGGGTATTTGTGAACTTTTGACAGGGATGGCTTCTAGATGGAAAGTCACAAAATAAAATAGGAAAATAGAAGGATTAATAAATGAAAGTTTCAAGACGGTGTGACGCTACGTCTTGAATTTACTTGCTCTTCTAGAAAGAGCAGGCTGCTAGGTATTATTTGTAATTAGTTGGGTGGGAAATAAATAAAATAATGGGTGAGAGTTGCAGAATTGTACTGTAGTCTTCTAGATGGGTTCGAAGGGATAATATTTTTTTCTCGGGTAATACTAACGAGATTAAATTTAAAGATAAAATTTATAAATTAAAAATATATCATTAGCAAAAATAAATATGTTTATAACGATTATGTAATATAATCATTAATTTTTATATTCTTTAACTTGTAAAGTTTTGATTACAAATTGAATCTCCAGTCATTACCTTTTTCTTTCGGTGCTTTGTTTGGATGTTTGTGAGGGGATTCTTTTCTTGTCACCACGTGGTTGATTCTACTTGTGTCAACATAGATGAGGAGGAGGCTATGTAGCTACGGCTATACCAAGTCAATGATGTGGTTTGTTTTGTTATTATCTGTTAAAGTTCCGCTCTCCAGGTTACCACATAATGAAAAATTCATGCTTACCTATTCATTCGTAGATTTCGTTACTCATGAGTTTTGATATCTAATTTAAATGTGTGATCGTGTATTTTGGGCAAATTTTTTCTTTAAATTTTAATTTTAGTCGATTACTCTCTTAAACTTTTATAATTAGTTAATTTCTCATTTGAATTTTAATTTTAACCGATTACCTTTTTGAACTTTTACAAATAGTCAATTTTCTCGAGGTGTTGAATTTTATAAGTATTCATCTAATTTTCCATCCAGCTTAATCACAGAAACAATACATGACAACTATATGAGGGAAAAAATAATGAAAAATTGGATAGATGAAAATTGAATTAAAGTTTTTAAAATATAACGTCAGGGGAGGAAATTGGCTATTTATAAAAGTTAAAGAGGTAATCGTCTAAAATTAAAATTCAAGGGGGAAGTTGGCTAATTAAATAAGTTCAAGGGGGAAGTTGGCTAATTAAAAAAATTCAAGGGGGTAATTGGCTAAAATTAAAATTCATGGGATAAATTGGTAACTGCATACAAGTTCAGAGAGCAAATCAACAAATACCACTATTGTTTATTATGTGTTTTCAACTAAAATATAAATTTGTTAAATTGTCCCACTAAAGATATTATTAATTTTCGTGATATAACATAAATAAAGGATATATTTGTTGTGGTCTATATTTAACTAATAGAGAGAGGGGATCGGCTGCGTAGAGAAAATAGAGAGATATGTGTTTGTAGGGTTGCGTAGAGAATGTGTTATTTCCTCTAAGCAGTGTCTTTATTTATAGCAATGAGATAGAGAAGAAATTATTCTCCTCCAAGGAATACAAGTCCTAATAG